CAAAGGACTCTTAACAGATGTGCTTAAAATAACTTTAATAATTAAATATATGCTAAGCACCCCTTGCATTGAAGTTACTAAAAAAACTAAAACCCCCCTTAACATTGGAAACTCAACCTAAACTTTTTATTTATTTTTTCACCGTAAACTTTTTATTTATTGTTTCAACCTAAACTTTATAGACCGTTCAAATAGTTAGATTATGTTTAAACACCGTTTGGTTTTCAATTTTTAAGTCGAAAGTTTAAAATATGTATGCGAATACCGAATTTCAAAGATATAAAATTTTAGGTTATGGTCCTTCTATCTCAACGGTGTGTAAAAGTTATCTACCAAATTGCAGTACTTATACAAGTTTTGGATTACTAGAGAAAGAGACCAAAAAAAAAAAAGGCCCATTGAATATAGCTACGGGCTACGGCCCATCACAAGCAAGAACCCTAATTGTCGTCATCTTCGTCAAACGTGTCCAGGACAAAGCGCTTACCTCAGGATTTTGGATGCCATTTTGCAATCTGGATCAGGCTATGCAAAACTCTGATTATTCACTCTCCATTTGCGCATGGATCTGTTCACCAAAGTAGGACATTGATAAGAGTATAGGCGAATCAGCGAATGTGTGTTCTCTAATTCTACCGGAAGCTTATTCAAAGCTGTAATTCGCTTCGTGAGCAATAAATCAATCGCAATTGTGTTCGTATGCGCATCTTCCAGATCAGAAGCCATTATTAATCTTCTGCAAGCTTCGTGTCTGCTTTCTGATCAAAGGAGATGTTGTTGTATACCTTGTCTGAGTAATCAATCCATGGCTGTAAGTTTTCAGCTTTTTCCTCTTACGCAGCTCTGTTTTTGTTTGCTAGTTAATACCAAAGTGTTAAAATTTGCTGTTTCGGATATTGCAGCTTCTCATTTCTTGTGGGGAAGTTTCATCTTCCCAATTCACTCTACTTCGCTTACTCAACCAAAGCCTTGATTTCGTAAGCGAAAATGTCTCTAGGATCATTGCTCCTATCTTCACCAACCTAAGGTAAACCTTATATGATTCCTCTTGATTCATTTTATTGGTTTCTATGACCTCAATCTGTTGCTTTATGGATTTGCAGGGACTTTGAAATGCGTCTTTCTTGTATTGACCGTCCCCAATCTATTCATGCCAATCATTCTCACTCGTGCACCAAGAACTGCTTTTGTGGTAAACAAGATTACGACCAAAAAGGAGACCCAGAAGCTATATTCAATGTCCTGGATTCAATCTTGAAAAGTAGTTTAGATCGTCTAGCTTCTTTAAGGTTTATATTTCCACCACTAACTTATGGTTTTGCATTCCCTGGCAACTTTTAATTCACACAAACTGCTTAACGACTTGCTTCTCTTTGTAGGGAGAGTGTATGTCAGACAAAGAGCTTCAGATACGAGGAATCTATATCTATTCATGCTTCGATCATGAGAGATCTCTGTTTACAAGGGAAGTTGGATGCTGCTCTCTGGCTACGGAAAAAGTTGATACAGAGTGGATTTGTTCCAGGTTTGGTCACACACAATCACCTTTTAAATGGGTTGTGTGAGTTGGGTCATATCGAGAAGGCGGATGGGATTATTAGAGAGATGTGGGAGATGGGTCCTTCTCCAAACTGTGTCTCTTATAACACCTTTATCAAGGGTCTTTGCAGTGTTAACAATGTAGATAAAGCTCTGTATCTCTTCAGTACTTTGAATAAATATGGTATTAAGCCAAATAGAGTGACTTGCAACATAATCGTGCATGCACTTTACCAGAAATCTCTTATGGGAAGTAACAACACAAAGCTTCTTGAAGAGATCTTAGATAGTTGCCAGGCGAACACACCCTTGGATATCGTCACCTGTACCATTCTGATGGATCGTTGTTTTAAGAATGGAAATGCGGTTCAAGCCCTTGGGTTATGGAAGGAGATGTCAGAGAAAAATGTCCCTGCTGATTCAGTTTTGTACAATGTCCTTATTCGTGGTTTATGTTCGAGTCGAAACATGGTAGCTGCTTATGGGTTCATGTGTGACATGGTAAAGAGAGGAGTTAATCCTGATGTTTTCACTTACAATACCCTCATAAGCGCCTTGTGCAAAGAAGGAAAGTTTGACGAGGCATGTGATATCCATGGTACCATGGAAAGAGTTGGTGTTGCTCCTGATCAGATCTCATACAAAGTTATCATTCAAGGTCTATGCATACAGGGAGATGTGACCAGGGCAAACGAGTTCCTGTTAAGCATGCTAAAACGTTCTCTGCTTCCAAAGGTTCTGCTATGGAATGTGGTTATTGATGGTTATGGAAGATATGGAGATACTAGCAGCGCTTTATCTGTTCGAAATCTAATGCTTTCTTACGGTATTAAACCAAATATTTACACAAACAATGCTTTGATTCGTGGGTATGTGAAAGGGGGAAGATTTATTGATGCGTGTCAGTTCAAAGATCAAATGCAATCTACCAAAATCTTCCCGGATACTACCACCTATAATCTGCTAATAGGTGCTGCTTGTACACCGGGTCACTTGCGGTTGGCTTTTCAGCTGTATGATGAAATGCTGAAAAGAGGATGTCGACCTGATATGATTACGCATACTGAGCTGATTAGAGGCCTCTGTTGGAAGGGTCGCTTGAAGGAGGCTGAAAACCTTTTGTTGAGAATGCAAGTGTTTGGCATAACATTGGATCATGTTCCATTTTGGATACTCGTGAAGAAATATACCAGATTGGGGCGACTATATGAGGCGTCTTTGGTTTACAAAAACTGGTTAATGACGAAGAACGGAGGAGTTTCTTGTCCAAGTAGCCTAAATCACATGCATACAGAAGAGCAGTAATGTGCTACTTGAAACAAGAAACAGAGCAAATCTCCGGTAGCTGTTTCGATATGGACACTTGAGCTATGTTCAGTTTCTTTTGATGGTCCAACAATTAGATTGTTGAAAAGATCCATCCTGAATCAGAGAATCTGACACGAGGAACGACAGAGCCTGGTTCACGATATCGAATCTTGGTGAAGTCACAGTGATTACCAAATGCTTCGCTTCTTTAACATTCGAGAAAACCTCAACTGGTATTCCTCTTTTCCTTTTCTTGGGGATCAGTTGATACGTATTCTTCGCATCCTCACAAAGTATAGTTGCATTCAGGTTTCTATTGATGATTTTCGCTCTCAGGGGCACACAGGGCTGTTTCTTCAAAAACTCCCAATATACTGTCTTGTCTGAAACTTAAAAAAGCCTCTCATTACAACAAAAAACGTGAATCTGTCCCTTTCAAGTATGAGTCGTATATATTACTATCCTCTTGGCTTATTGCAATACAACTTTTATATTGGTTGTGTAGGTGATGATGTTAATGGATTATACTTTCTCACCATTTATTCAGATGCTGCTTTCATGACAAAGATTGGTTCATGTTCGACAAGAGGCTGACATATAAAGGCTCCATTTTATTGTCTTGATAAGAACAATGATTTCTAAATTTCTGTAGATGCTACTATCCCAAAAATTCAAAGTTTTAAGAGAGAAGATTGTGTTACAACAATAAGATGTTTCACTACAAAAAGAAAGATCGAATTCAAGAAGCATATGCAATGCGTCTGAAAATTGCTCTGAAAGTTTGTCCTCCATTCCTGGCAACTTTCTGTCCTTCCTCAGTAGCACTGCATAGAAGCTCAACCACAGGATCCAAATCGAGCTCTTCTTGTGTCAGAGATTCAAACATTGGATGTTTCTCTAAACAAGCCTTCATCCATTCTCCGAGCTCCTCAACATCGGTGATTGTGTATATAATCCCACCAGCTCTAAGAACATAAGCATACTCGTCTAACAAATGAGTGCTAATCACTCTCCTCCTGTGATTCTTCTCCTTGAAATGTGGATCAGGGAAGAGAAAAAACATCTTCGAAAGCTGTCCTTTCTCAAAGTAATTAGGAATGTACTTCATCGAGTTAGTCCTAACAACAGAGATGTTCTCGTACTGCCCTTCCGAGCTCGTTTTCCTTAAGGCTAAGATCCTTTCCTTGACGTATTCCGTCACTTTGTCTCTCAGCTCCATACCGATCATTAGTGTATCAGGGAAGAGCGTTGAAAGGGAAATGAGAAGGCCACCAAAACCGCATCCGATATCCGCAAACTCAATCTTCTTGGAGATTTTGTTGTCAGCTTCAATAACTTTGGGGAAGTGAAGCGAAAAGTCGACATGAGATGGAGCAATCGGGATCGGGAAGTGAGAGTCACTAAGTGGATTACTATGAGCTCTTGCTCTGTAGAATCGCTTCCGAGGAAGCCCCGTAGATTTGCTGAAAGTTGATTTCGTCTCACTGTCCATAATCACTTTGTAGCACACGCAAAGACAATACAAAACAGTGAGCGACATAACAAAATATATCTTCCTGCAAATAAACAAGTCCAAGTTTCGTTCTCCAACACTAAATTCCCATAATCCAAGATCTGATCTAGCTTAAACATTGCGAAAGATAGGAACTTTGAATAAACTGAGACCAAATCTGCAAAACCCAGTAAAATGCCTACCACCTAAACCTTAAACCCTAATTTTCCTGAGAAATCAAGAAGCATGGATTCACAGATACGTAATACACTACGAGCACACAACAAATAACCCAGATTTCAGATTTAACTTATAAGTGGATTACCTGATTCAATCTGCAGGTGGAATCAAATTCTCGAGCTCTTTTTCGCAACCAAAACTTCTCAGAGAATGTGAGAGAGAGAGAGATGCAGAGCTTAGCTAAGAACTAGGGTTCGTTCATATGTTCTAAATGGGCCCAAATCCATAACTTATACTTAATGGGCTTCCGACCCATTACTAGTTCAGCTCTGTTCTGGTCGGAATTTCAGTTATGTTCACGCGCTCAATACTCTGTGAAGTGATACACAAATTCGCATTTGACAAGTTCATCGTAATGCTTGATTGATTACTCATAACAGTGCACAAGAATCACAAAAGTATAAATAAGATACAAACTCGTGTAAATAATAGTTTCTTCTAGGGACCATTGTGTCTTGAACGTCTCCCACCACTGTGATTCCCTCTGAAACCACCAGAGTTTGAACCTCTAGAGGTTTGACCACCACCGTGCTTCAATGGCACAACTGTGTCCATATACATCAATCTCCCAGGGAAATGTCTTTTCTCTTTCGGAAGACTACGAAGCTGTTGCACCCAAAACGCAACGTATTCACCTTCTGGATCATAGTTTTGTGCCTGATCAAGAAAACCAAAACAACATTTGTCAGTCTCTTCTTTATCATTTACTGTGACCGGATTATCCGAATGTTAGAAGTTACTTACTTGCTTGGGGATGCTGAAATATCGGTCTTCTCGAGGATCATTTCCAACTCCTTTTCAATTGGGAAAACCAAATTTTCATCATCATAATCTAAAGTTTCCATTTCAATCTCGTTCTCAATGTGGAATTATAAACTACAAATCATAAACTGTGGCCCAAAGTGGCATGAGTAGTAGTACCTGCTCCATAGGTCCAGTTTCCGTAATTAGAACATGGATCGTAGTCCAATAAACATGTCTCAAACCATTCCGCACCCATGCGCCAATCCAAGCCCATGTCCCGCACAAGAAACGAACAAACAATCTAGACAGTGAATGACAAGTGAAGAATCAATCATCCATAAAAAGAATATAGCTAATTTGGCCAAACAGAAATCGATTTTAATCTCACTTGTCGGCCTCGATTTGACATGAAACCTGTAGTGGATAACTCCTTCATGTTTGCATCTATAATAGGATACCTATGCCATTCATGTACAGTCACTAAAGGTTAGGCTTTGGAGCTTCAAGCGTAATTTTGACAATATCACATTACGCACCCGGTCTTGCCATCTCTCCAAGACTCAAATAGCTTCTTATCTTGACTCCATTTCCCTTGCACATTCCTAGGGCCACCTACGAATAAAACTTGCTATTCAAAAGTTTGCTCTAACCACATGGCATTGACCTTTAACTTGAACCACTTTTTCCGGTAAGCATTGTTACCGAGGTGGAAGAGGGAGTTCCCACACTTAATTGAAAGAAACCTAAAGTAATCCCTCCATATTAATTCAAACAATACCCTGGAAACATATATCAAATCAATTTGGAAGTTATTAAAACCAAGGACTAAGAGTGAAGAGAATGCAACAGAAATTTCAAAACTCATAAATAAAGAAAGACATACCAGTATGTTGAATTATTTGCTACTCTTTCTCTTTCATATCTTTGAACCTGAAAACTTTCAAACGTCAAATTAGTGAAAACTGCTATATGTTTTGGGACATTGAATAAACGTTTGAAAGATCTTACCTCTTCATATATAAAGCGAGGAGAGATACACCCAAAGGCAAGCCATGGAGAGAACTTTGTCGAGTAATCAGGTCCTAACATTCCGTTCCTCGTATCTTTGTATACTTTCAATAGATCCTGCATTAAAAAGACAATACAACATTATGTAAACACACAAACAACGCCATAGTAGACACATGAAGATCTAATGTTCCTCGAGGATTTTATCTTGCCTTCTTCCAAAAGTACTCAAAAAGTCTGCCTACTCCTGCTGTTTCACCACCCACGAATCGCATTCCTCTGGTCACCTGTATCAACATACATCGAAAGACTTAACAAATGAAGAATGCTTCTTCCTTCCTTTTATCTTTTGTCTCAATTAACGAGCTTCTCGGAGAAAACTCACCTCTTGTGGCTCAATTCCAAGTTGATCAAGAGTTGGAACATCTCCCCAATTATCAATACAAGGTGTTGGTCCTAGAGAAAGTGGAATGCGAGTGGAGCTTCTGATACTACACTTGCTTTCCACCAACTGCAAGCAAGTTTCCAACCCAAAAACAAACATCTATGTGTGTTATGATCTTGTATGCATTATTGACCACCCAACCAGACATGATCTTTATCCACAATCATTACCACAAAATGCGAGAATTTTTGTTCGAGTGATTCTATCTTACCAGCAAAGTACGGTACTAAATATCGTAAAACCCTTTCAGCATTTCCAATACTCCTCTCTATTCATCAAGAAAGACACCGACGAAAACAATAATCATACCTTACGAAACTGAGTGTAGATATCAGGCAGATCAAAAACATCAAATGGAAGATCATCTTTATGGTACATAGTACTTCCCCAAACGAGCTCAAGCTTAGTGCCATTTCCAATCAAAGCTTGATTCACAAGTCTTTCGACTTGTAGCTCCTCGCTGCACGTTTCCTTATGAGCAAATACCTGAAAAAACAGAGGTCTAGTTAAATATCACATTTTTCATGTCCCTCACAAAGCTCTGAAATCTTCATCAAACAAAACTTAACTGTATGAGCTCCCAAATCTTTGGCAAGAGAAGGAAGAATCTCTTCAGGTTTACCACTCCTAATAAGAAGATTCACTCCTATTTTCATCAGATTCTTTCTCAAATCAACCAAACATTCCATTAGAAAACCACCTCTTAAAGCTGAACATAGTAAAACATCGAATAACCAAATCAAAAGAAATAAAAATACGATCTTTTTCAATGTTTAATTGATTCAAAGATTGGAACTTTGATTACCTCCGGTTTTGGGGAAGGCGAAGAAATGGGTAGTTTGAAAAAGACGAGGATCGAGACAGTAAACAGGTAAAAGGGTATCAGAGGAAGACCAAGCTCTGTACAATGCATCGTTGTCAAGCACTCTAAGATCGTTTCTAAACCAGAGAATCGCGGTTCCTTTGCCGTTTCGTTTCGCCGGAGAAGGCAATGCGTATCTCTCAAACGTTTTTCCGGCGACGGAGTCCATCTCTTGTTCCTCGAGACCGGGAACACGGTAGATATTTCCGTTCATTTTCGCGGCGGAGCAGAAGAACAGAGGAGAAATGGGTTTCTTCTTCCTCGTGATGAATCTGCGAAGTTGATGTGAAAGAGGAGACGAGAGCGACGACGAAGCCGCCATTTGCGGATGCTCTGTTTAAAGTGTAAACATCATCTATTTTTTTCAACGAGATGTGAAGGAGACACGTGGCGTTAGATGTGGAAGTGTGACGTGGCGGATGTGTAGCCTTTTGTCTGAATCTGGTGGAGCTTGAGTCGTTTCTATGGTCACGTTCATATAAAAATACCATATTTTTGAAATTTTTATAAAAATATC